CATCAACAAAGCCGCTTTAAAAAGATAGGGAAATGATTCCAAAGGCTTTTCAAGGAATAAATAGGAAAGGGAGAGGCAAGGAAAGGTCTCACAGAATCTTCCACGGTGATTCTATTTCGCTTAGATGTTCTTGTGGCTTACAGCTGGTACAGCCAAGTGATCGGCCATTTTACTGACCAATCTTTACTCTGTCAGCCCAAAGGAGCTTGCTTGGACAGCAGAGGGTGCCTCCTCCCCTCTTCAGTCAAACAGGCAGCCTCCTCAATGGTGGTCGCCCCTCCAGGGCGACTTTCGACCCAATCAAGGATCTATCGGCGGGGGAAACTCGGTCGGCAAAGAGAGAAGCCTCTCTGAACGACCGCAGCGCTGCGACCTGGAACCAGAAGCCTCAAATATATGTTTTTCTGAAGTAGTAATCTATAAACCATGGTTTATGACTTAGCATGCAATCTCAGCTAACTCTGGGTTATTTGATAATCAGCTGTTAAACAGAATTGCCAGCATCCTATATAAATCTGTACCGAGGTCACTTTTGGGAGGCAGTGTGTAGAATTTTTGCCATCCTAATTAAATGAACGATTGCAAAACATACAAAATTCTAATAATACAAAAATTGGTTCACTATCCTATTAAAACATTAAATTGGGATATGATATATAATTTAAAACAAAGAGAAAAATTAAATAAACATCATTAAATTGTGCCTTATAAAGAAAAGGCTAGGATTTTTTTTTTAATGTGAGAGATTGATCTGACTAATATAACTCTACAGTTCAGGCCACCTGATTAAATTGTTGGCTTCCACTAACAAGATAAAATTATTCCTGCTGTAGTACATATTTAATTTATGGAATAAACTAAGACTAAAGGGATTGCTGGTTACTGGCTTAGATGAGCTAAAAGAGATTAGACCAATCAAAGTAGGATAAGACATAAGGATCAAAGCCACTGTTTCTCTGAACACTAGATTTTGGAACATTCTTTGTGGGAAAATTTTTATTTGATATTTGTGAGACTGGGTAACAATGCATTTGGTAGGTACTGCTTGAGAGAGGATACTGGCAAGATGGAACATTCCAAAACTGAAGACAGTATCTCTGAAGACTTTATCTCACATTGTTTGAACACTTTAAAACTTACCTCAGTGGCAGGAATATTATTTGTGTACTTTAGCAAATTCTACATAATCCACGCTGGCATACTAAGCCAACCGATCATTATTCTCTGCTCAGAACAAATTATGTACAATGTAATAGTATGATATAAAATTATAACCATTATCATCATCTTTAGCAGCAGCAAACTAAAAGCAAATAAATTATTTTTCAGGTACATATTTTTAAAAGGTGACATCCTCAAACTTTCAGTTTATTGTATTTACCAACATATAAATACATTTATCTATCAACATGACTAATTGGTACTAATCTAAATGAGCATAACTTGCTCTTAATAGCACGATTTCCTGAATTGTAATTATGATTCAGTTTGTTTGCTTATTCACTGATGGACATAACCAGATAACAACTGCAGGGTTTCATTTGGGAAAATTAGTGAGGATGTGTCTCACAGTTTCCAATTAAATTATTATAGAGACAAAAAAAGATGTTTGTAACTTGTTAAGAAGTTAATTCAGTGACTTCTTCTATACTGTCATAATTTATTTGCTTTTTTGCATCCATAACATTGTAGATATAACTCTCTCAAATTGAGCCTGACTGCTTTTGAGTGCATGGACATGTCTAGATTTTTCTTGTTGTAATAATATGGAAGGGATTTATCACTGACTTCTTCTCAAGTCTTGTGACTTCCTGATTTAACCCACAATCTTGTGATTTTCTGATGGTCTTCTGTTTAAGTATTAACCCAATTTGACCCTACTTTGAGATTTACCAATAAAATAAAATCTAGTTAGGCCTCTCCAGATTGGTATACATAATAATAACAGCATATTATTAACTAAATTTTAGATGAACTTAAAATGAACTCATTTTTACTTTAAACCCTCTATTCTTTCTTGATTCATATCTAATGAGAGAAACTGAGGGCCTGGTTTTGAATAAGTGAGACCTAAAAGAATTCTGCCAATTTTATAATGTATAAGGAGAAAATTAGTTTGTAGATTTTATAATAATATGCATGTGCTTTTAAAAATATTTTGTATGTTGTCTTGGGCATAATTTGCTGTTGATAAATACAGTAATTACAAATATAAATGTTATTTATGAAATAGAATTATCTGGCTAAATGGCACACATTTGTATTTTATAATTACATTGGTAAAATATGAGTGGAAGTTAGGTTTCCTTGTTTTCATGCCAACATAAAACATCAGATTTATTATTCACATTTTAACACCATGGTGTTTTCTAGTTATTTTGATGGCAGTAAGTCTGGTGGTAATTTCAAATGTATAATCATGTTGGCTAGTTAGGACTTAATAAGGGGTACTCAAGGGACCAGTATAAGAAAATATTTCAGTATAATTATAATCTTTGATAATATCATGCAGTCAGGTATCACATATGCATAAAGAGAGAAAGTCTTTGAAGTAAGAATTATAGTAAGTATCAAGGAACATAATCCAATTAAGGGACTGTAGTAAAGGTACATAATCTAAAACTACAAGATTGCACACTCCTCCTCCCCACAAATTTAGGTATGCTGCACAATCTCCTATGTAACTTGCCAACTTGTAATTTTTATAATAAGAGAGAAGGCAACGCATTAAAAGGATATGCTTGTGATTTCATGATTTGCATTAAATCAATAACATTTAAAAGTAACAGAAAATCTAATGAATTTAATTTTTGTCCTGGCTCCCTTCTATTTCTTGATGTTGCCTTTACTCATTTGTGGCCGTTCAGGAAAAAACAAACTTCTATGCCGGGCACAAGTGCTATTGTTGTGCCATTTGTCACTGTATGGCTTCCCTTGCTTTAGCAATACTGACAAACTAGGATGTGGCTGTTACTTCTGTTATACATTCCTTCCAGGTCCAGCTCTGCATCCAATCACAACACACTGCATCTACCATTCAGATGATACAGCAGCCATCTTCTCATAAACCCATATCACTCCAGCTTCATTTATATTCAGAGTGCAAAAGGGGGAGATCTAAATATGAACACCATAAAGAAAGTGTCCATGGTATGAGACAAATTAAAATGAAAAGGAATTAAGTGCTGTCTTTGCTGTATCAGCATATCTGGGATCGATTGATTTATATCCCACCTTTATTATTTTTTATAAATAACTCAAGGCAATGAACATACCTAATATTTCTTCCTCCTCTTATTTTCAACACAACAACAAGTCTGTGAGGTGAGATGGCACCAATTTGGGAAGGGCTTTCCAAGGAGTGTGCCTTTCTTCTTTCTTCTTAAGCTGTAAGATAAGACGGATATCATGCCAGCGTAATATGATGCATATTAGACCCCTCCCCTATCCCCCACCCCCAGAATAAGATGGCACCTGCTCTCCCAAGGTATCGGAAAGCTTTGAAAACTTGCTTTTGGTCCTAAGTCAAGGCTGAAGGTTTGTTGATTGCTTAATGACCCTTGTTTGTGGATTTTGTTACTAGAACATGTTAGCCTGGGCTGTCTGTTGATTTAGTATTTTAGCTATTTTTCTGCCTCTTTTAGTTTTGTGTGCCATCCAGAGTTTATTAGAAATGGTCAGCCAATAAATGTAAATAAATAAATAAATATTGCATTTCAAATAGGGTCTGCTTTTAGTTTAGGAATTGAGGTCCCCGTTACTTACTGCATATTTTCTTCACTGCTGAGTGAAGTCAAGGTTGACTACTGCACAATGCAGATAATTTTCAACACCTTTCCCTTAGCTGATTTTCTATTTTTTATTAAGATTGAACTGCATGTTTCTTTGAATGTATATGATGCAGCTACAACTTTATTTTTATCTTTTATTACTTAAAGGCACAGAAGGGGATTTGAAGTATATTGATGAAATAATCTTTCCATCCCAACAGTGGGAATCATACAATTGCTTTCATACTGGATGAAGCAATGCACAGTAAAGGGAAAAAAATCTTTTTCAGCTCTGATTAGTATTTTTTAAGAAATACATTTCCTTCATAAGTATGAGACTTAAGGGAAAAAAAAATCTCCACTTCACGGGATGGGTACGAGTAATGGCAGGCTACCAGGTCCCTATACACATATCTCCCACATGTAATTTTGGTTAGCTGGAAAAGGGCAACCAATGTCATAATGTAAACACCATAACATTAATATGTGGCCTGACATGGAAAATGAAGACATTTCAAAGATTGTCTTGCTCTTATAATATTAATTAGATTTGGCCACTGAAACTAAATAGAGGTTACTAAATGTAGAGAGATTCAAGACCAGTAAAAGAACAGAATACATATTTCAATGACTAAATATACATAATCAATCAAACAAACAATATTAAATTGGAATAAGACAAACATATGGGCTATAAAGCCAGCAATGGTTACTAGTTACTATCTATTACTAGCTACTATCCTAATTAATTAGCAGTTGATGCTTTATGCCTGACTATGGTGCCCAAAAGGTTGGGGATTTCTGAGTTAGGCAATGTGCATCATAAAAATATAGAAACAGAGTCAGGCATAAAGCATCATCGCACAGAGTTGCTCTGAAAGTAAGATTGGATAGCTGCATCAAATAAATCACTTTATCAGAAAACAAAAAAGAACGTTAGTCATCATCATCACCTCCAGCTTCCACATTCTCTCAGCCACTATAGCTTGCCTTTGAGAAGATATAATATTTCCAAAAGTACTGGGCTGAAACCCCCCTTTGTATTTTTTTTTTAAAATCAAAAGGCATATGAAGCCTAGGTCAGCCTGGAGGTTTCTTATAAATAAATAGCAATAGCAATAGCACTTAGACTTATATACTACATCACAGTGCTTTACAGCCCTCTCTAAGTAGTTTACAAAATCAGCATATTGCCCCCAACAATTTGGGTCCTCATTTTACTGACCTTGGAGGGATGGAAGACTGAGTCAACCTTGAGCCAGTGAGAATCGAATTGCTGAATTAGCCTGCAATACTGCATTCTAATCAATGTACCACCACTGCTCAGTAAATAAATGTAATTTTGATAGTTGGCACTTCTATTGCAATATCTTTTTGAAATCAGATCCAGATAAGACCCCTGATTTTATTCCAAAATGATACTAAAAAGAATGAATCTGTCACTGATAAATGTGCCTAGTTCTTTGTGTACATTGATAAAAAAGACTGAAGTAAATCTTGCTTTGACATAATTCACAAACATACCTTTAATATTAGCATAGAACTTAAAATATAGATTTTTTTTATCCAAACACTCACATTTGACAGTAACACTCTAGGACTTATTGTAGAGTAGGTGAAAGATGAATTCCCCCACAAAAAATTATTTTTCCTCTTGGAAATTAATGTTTCTATCTCCAATTATGAAATTCATGTAATTCTTGATCAAATGAAAGCCCTAAGAATAGTAGTTGTGTAATGAGGTGTAAAAAACCCCAAACAAGAAATATTCATATTCCCCACCCAAACAACAGGATTTTATTAGAAATATTTTGTCTCAGCATTTGTATTGAAAAATATCTCCTTTGAGTCTTATTAAATGTAAGAGAATTCCCTGCCTGTACAAATTACACCAGATATGCAATTAGGAAATAATCTGCTTTCAATCCCATAGCCTAACCATGGCCATAAAACAGTGTTTGATAAAAAGGGCCTGCAGATGTTCTTCATGAGACGACACTCATCTAAAAGAAGCCTAGTGTAATACTTTCATTGTGATAAATCACAGAAGACCTGGGAAATGTCAATGCTATTGCTAATATTCTGTGTGTGGGCTTTTTATAGAAAAGCAGCAGTTTCAAATGTGGAGAAATTCTTTAAAAAAAACACACCCCAAACATCTGTTTAGGCAAACATGGCTAGATATTAATACTGGATAGTATCATAAAGGGCCTATTTTACAGCTTCTTTTGTGCAATGACTATATTCAGGCTCGTTAAGAAGTGTGGGAGGGCGGATAGTAAAAGATGTATCTGATGTAGATCATTTCTTTTCCACTGATTTCCAAGGTTAATCTTTTCATCTCCCCTCTTATTTCCCCACCTTTCCATTCCCTAGAGATTTATGCTGCCTTCCCATTAACTAGGGCATCTGGCGTGGGGTCTGTTTATGCACGGAGTTGCCTGGGTTAGCTGGGCAGCATCGACAGGTGGTGGCCCGCTCTCTCATCTCTCCCCCTCCTCTCACACACACACACACACAGAGAGAGAGAGAGAGAGAGAGAGAGAGAGAAGGCGACGTAAGCACACACACATTTAGTCAAAGCAACATTGTCATTCAGTGCAAGCAAGCAGAGCTTCCCGTCGCCTGCCTCCTGCTGCTGCAGGCGGAAAGGCGCTGAGGGGAACGAGAGGGTGAGCTGCCCCAGCCCCAGCCAGCGACAGATTGGACCGCCGTCGCAGGCAGGGGAATTAAAAGCCCAGCCCGGGCCTCCTTCGGGTGAGGAAGAAGAACCACGCCGCTGACGGACTGCCGGCAAAGGTAAGAGCGCCTCAAGGGCCAGGGGCAGGCGTCAGGTGTCTGCCTTTGAGGAAAAGCAACGTTGTGACTCCCTCGCCTCGCCTTCGTCAAGTGAGGCCATGGCCGCGCGTTGGGTCCTGTAATAGCCAGCCCTCTGGGGGAGGGAAGGGGGAGAGAAAATACCTAGTGGTGGGGGGTACTGTCAGGTGGGGGAAGTGGCGAGCGCGTGTTTAGATCGCAAAATGCGATCTGAAGAAAGTGCGGGCGGGGGGAAGTTTGGAATCCTTTCCTCCCTCCCGCCTCCCCCCCCCAAAAAAAAGTGACTGGCTGGTTTGTTTGAATCCGGTAAAAGAAACAAAATGCCTCCCCGGTGTGCGCGGAAAACGTGCATCGGCGGCTGGAACTGCTAGTGCCTTCTCTCCGCCTGAGCGACAGATTTAAAACTCCTCTCGCCTTTTTTTTCAGCGAAACCCCGGCAGGAAGAAGATCTCGGTTGAACTTCGAAGGCGTCGAGGTGCCCGTTTCCCTTTCGCGGATCCTCTGAGAAGTGGAGGAGGAGGAGGCTGCCTTTTCCAGGCGCTGACAGGTGGGCTGGAGCACTTAAGGCGGGGGTTGGAAAAGGAAAGGGGACCATTGAAAGGGGACGGTGGAGGAAAACAATGAAGTTCTACTAACCAGGAACGGAAACAAACTCTTCTGGGGGGGGGGGGGAAGAGAGATTATACTGAAATGTTAATTTAAAAGTAAACATGAGGGCATTTGATGTTCTATCTATGGGGTGTGTGTGCGCTATAATTATCATTTTAAAAAAAAACTGGTGTTTTACCTACATTTTTGTGTGTGATAAATGGGTTTCAAATAACTGGAGGATTGAGACATTGATAATTAATATGTTCTAGTTTACCATAACTGATGTTGCTGGATTTGATTTAATTCTGGTTTTACTGTATCCATACTTTTTTTTTATATATAATCAGATGATTGAACTTAGTTTAGACTTCGAGCTGGAGCCGAAATATATTTATAAGATAGCACAATATATCATGAAATAGGTCTTAAATTTGAGATTGTTTTGCATTTATATAATTTTAATACATAACAATGTTCACAATTTCCTCACAATAATGCACTAGGACTCTTTTTTATTTGTTTTGATTTTGGAAAAAAAATATTGTCCTGGTTTGAATAGAACAAGAAAACAGTTCAAGAGTTAATATCTCTTTTAGTTTTTCTATCTGCTATACTAATAGACGTTTGTAATAGAAAGATATGCCATTGGTTTGAACATTACCTCAGGGTAATATATTCAGGGAAATAGAATATATTGCCCCAAATTGTTCTCTATTTTTATATTGGCTTTCATTTTTTTTTCATTTTATTGAACAATAACTACTATTGTGGATCTTGTTACATAACCAAAGTCTAGTTGACTCATTTTTTGCATTATGTGAAATATTCTTTGGATGTAGGAAACAGCTGGGGATTTACAACTGCAGATTTATTAGGTGTACAATTTTAAATGTGTAATTACTGCTTTGTGTGATTGGTTCATGGTAGGAGCAATCAATATATGATACTAGAAGTTTGGATCAATTCAGTAGATGTTTTTTTTTTCCCCTGAACAAGAATAATGAGCTATGATTAACTAAATTGCTGACTATGTAATAGTTGTACAGATATCTATATAAGTACCAGAATAAACTCTTTTCTTATATCTGTGCCAAAAACTAATACTCTTAAAATGTTAATAGAACTAAAGTGAATTTATACTTTCTAAAATCTGCTCACAAAAAGTCATATACACATCATTTGAAAATCTTCAAATACACCGTATCCAAAACTACTAAATTATAGGAATTATTTTTATATTAGATTACAAATGAGCATACATTAAATCTACTTCACTGATTTTTATAAAAAAATTCATGTCCTACAGTGTATTTTATTCTTTTTGAAAATGTAACCTGATAAAGACGGAGGCAGACATGATTTCCCATGACAGATTATGGAAAAATATTTTTTCTGAATCTTACTTTAGATTTAGATTAGGCTACTTCCAGGGGAATTCTAGATCATTTGTGGAGTTCTGAATTGAATCCTGAGCCTAGTCCTGCTGCGAATGATATAATTTTATAAGGTCACAAGAAAGAAAAATCCAATAAAGCTAAAATGTCACCCTCAAAGCTAAGTTGAGGTGTTATCTATATATGTAATCTATTGCATAAAATCTATGTTAAGATTTTAGTTCATTTTTTATCTTTATGTAGAAATATTGCTTGATCTAAAAAGTAATGGCATTTTAAATTGAACCTGTATTGAAAAATATTCAAATTCTCTTGCTCTTATTGTTGTGATGTGATTTCTGAAATTCAATTACTGAATTCACAGTAATATAATCACAGAAATATTCAAAATATTTAATTTTGTACGAATGGATAGATCTTCCTGGATGAAGAGAAACAAATATTTCTGATTCCTCTTCCTCCTCATCACTTTCCATTCCCATTGGAAGGATTCCCTCCTGTGCTCTAGATAAACATTTTAAGAGATGGTGTTACAACCAGACCCACAAGTACCCCCTATGTACTTTATTGTGACTCCAGGCTAATTCCATGCTTGACCCTTCCCCCTTGCCAGCCTGAATGCTTCCCAACATATTAATATTTCACAAATAGGCATTATAAAGATGTCCTCCTAGCCCCCAGACTCTAGCACAAATGGAGAGCTTCTAATGTATTCCTAATCCAAACCAGTATACTCTGAAATAACAGGAATTTTAAGGTTAATAACTATGCATATCAACAAACTATCAATCTCTTTGCTTGATGACAATATGACTTTGAAGTAAGATATTGCATATATTAAAATATGCATGCATCCTATTTTACTTAGGTTTCCTAGATGACTGAATTGATATAGTTGTAGATGTACATTTTAATAAGTTTCCCCCTGCCCCATTGTAAATGTAGTGAGGAAGAGATTATCTGTAACACTCTTTTAAATTTCCTGCAGTAAAATCTGCCTTATTTTTAAATTTAATCTACTGTTGAGATTTTCCTTTTCCTATTATCTTCAGACAATATCCATGTCTACAGGGTGCTGGATCCAGATTTTGTCATGTTTAATCATATTGAAATCAATAGGATGAAATTGATTATGATATGTTAAGCCACACTGATTTTTGGATGCATAACCGAAAGCTTATAGAATGGTCAGGCTATTTCAGCAACACTAGTAAAGGGAAGTATAGAATCTATTAAGGTAGTAAAAGATAGAAAGAGGGGAAATGTTATTTTAAAGGAGATTGTTATACTTCTGTATGTGTACATATTGTTGCTTTAACATTGTGTCTTTTCCCGTGTAAGATTGAGACTCGAATATGCATGTATAAAACTTGTCTGTATATGGGTGTATACGGATACACATGTATGTTTATATATATAAAGGTACATATATTCAGAAAGACCTGCCCACAAGAAGAAAAGCAAATGGAAAAGAAATGGGGGAGGACATAGCAAGGGAATTTTCCAGTGAGAAGACATAGTAGCCTCTTGTCCAAATTGAATATCTTGCAAGTTATTGCTAAAGTGTCCTAATCTGGATAGTATTTTCTTAAGCTGGCTTTGAGTTAAGCTGGCATGAGCATACGACAGAGCAACTTAAATTGTAAGTGCTTTTATGTCCTAAATCTGATTTAAACTCAGTATGCAAAGGTATTGTATACTTTTATGCATATTTTATAGTAGATAGTTAAAAGTATAACCTTAAAGCAAGTTCAACACTTGATATTTTCCAGTGCAAATTGCTCACATCTAGAGCTGAAAGCCATTCACTGTCTAATGCTATATATCCAATATTCAGTTTGTCTACTGAACATTTTAGACTAGGATGGCAAAATGATAATGATAAATTACAAAATGAATAAAAACACATCTTCCATTTTTAGCCCAGCCAGAGGAAATTATATTTGTTTCTAGATATCTTCTTCAATAATATGTTTGAACTGAAACTTTTATGAATCATTAGAAGTATGATTTCTTCAAATTCAGCTTTCTGTGCTTTTCTTAGGAACTATATGGAAGTGATTTATCACTGCCTTCTTCTCGTATATTACTTTGACTTTCTTGTAAAGATCAGACCCTGGGATTTTCTGATGGCCTGATCCTTTTTAGTAACCTAAACTGGTGGTGCAAAACTTTCTTGCCTAAATGAATACTTTTTAGAAAGGTAGGCACTTGAAGATAACTGAATTTTCAGAAAATTATAGAATAAGGAAGATGACCTTGATAGAGATATACAAAGTCTATTGCAAGGGGGATGAAAAATAATTTAAATATGCAACAGACAGATAATATTCAGAAGTGAATCAGACAGGCAGCTTCCTAATTCATTGAACTATAAGCAACAGGAAGAGGTGCAACATAATCAGACTTGCAAGACTGTCAGCTTTAGTAGGCAGTGCAGACCAAGAAATCAAGTATTTATTTTTTATTTGGATAAATGATCAGATCATTCCTTCATTGCTATGGAATTCATTAGTGCTCTGAACTCCTGCCATAAACTTATCTTTGATCAGTCCTGATAGATCAGGTGATTTCCAGAAGGTATTTGGGTTTTTTCCTGAAATTATGATGGATAATTCTGCCAAGAAGTTGGTCACCCCCTATAATATAGTGATGGTAGCATCCTTGGATATGATTACATCTGGACAGTCTCTTCCTGTTTGACAATACAGAGGAATCTCCTTGGTTTAATAAGGAACTCTGAGAGATGAAAGGAGAGAGGAAACACCTAAAATGATGCTGGCAGAAGACAAGGACTGAATCTGATCAAACATGGAGTTAGATTTGAGTCTGCAGTGTGGTGAAACAAAAGACACTATGTTGATTATTTCCTTTAGAAATCAGGTTCTCTACACTTTGGGTGTTTTATAGCACCATCAAGATTGTCTGTTTCAGCAAGCATTTAGGGTCTTAAAGGTTTGTTTCCTTTTTTAAGGGCAGTGTTTCTCAACCTTGGCAACTAGGAGATGAGCAGACTTGAAGTGGCTTGGGAATTCAGGGGGTTGAAGTCTACATATCTTCAGGTTGCCAAAGATGAGGAACATTGCTTTTAAAGGAATGGTTTTTGCTTATGTAATGCTTCTGGTGCTATGGTTTTTTTTCTTGTTGAATTGATTATTAATATGCTTTATCTTTGTTATTATGATTTTGTATTTTTAAAACTTGATCAGTGAATGAGGTGTTTTAGAATTATTTGAACTGGCTAGAAAATGCTGGTAAGACTCATTTAGCACTGCCTTGTACAATGACTATTCTCAAAGAAGATGGTGATGGAGAAATAAATTTGTGATCAATTTTCACATTTACAACCATACACAGAAGAGAAATCCTTCAGTAGGCTTCAGGAACAGAGTTGTTCCTGGAGCCTACAGGATTTCATCTACCATTAGTTCCCTCCACTGGCTTCCCAACTGACTCTTTTGGGAAGCCAGAAAAGATTGCAAATGGTGATCACATGATTGGAACTTGGCAACCAGCTCAAATTACAACTAATTGCAAAGTTCCCCAAATGTAGTTATGCGAT